GCGGCGCGGGGCGGGCCTGCCACTGCCCCCTGCGCCGTCAGCGTCCCTGGCGTCCCCGGTGCTGCCTGGGGCCGGCCAGGAGGCCCCATCCGCACGCCGGTGGAGGGAGCAGGCAGGGCGGGGAGCCGCAGGTCTTGGCACAGGGACCCAGGCCCTGCACACCCAAGTGGCTGTGGCCACCACACATGGCTGTGACCTGCACAGCGTGGCACTGAACCAGCTGCCGTGTCCTGAGCTGGTGAGTAAGGGTGAGCTGGCTGCCTGCTGCCTGCCTGCCCTGCCGGCCCTGGGTGCCCTGCAGGTCACTGCCACGTGCCGAGCGCTCACATGCTGGTTTGTGTCTCCGGGCTGTGCTGGCAGCTTGACCACAGGGGCCCTTCCACAGCAGAGCTGTGCCTGTGTCACTGTCCCTGGTCTCTAGGGTGCCGCGGCCCTGGGGACCTTGTCCTTCGGCACCGAGCACTGGGACCACCCCGGGCCCGCACGAAGCCGGGAGGGCTCTTGCCTTTGGCCGGGCTGCTTGGGGCTGCCCGCTGGGGAGCTGCCTCCCCTCACCGGGTCGTGTTTTTCCACTGGCCCAGCCCTCAGCATCCCCGGGTTATTTTTGCAGGCAGCGAGGGCAGGAAGTGACACCCTGCGGCCCCCGGCCCTGGGAGGATGCGGTTTCTGCGCCTGCATGGCGTGAGGCTCCGTACTGCAGTAGCTGAGGTCTGGCATGGAGCCGGCAGCCAGAGCATCGCCCCGCGGCAGCTGGGACCCCTCTGTGGTGGGATGGGGACCCCGTGCTCCAGCTGTGGGGTGTGAAGGCAGCCTGGTCCCAGGACCCCCGCTGCCCCAGCGTGGGGGTGTGGAGGGGCTGGTGGGCTCCCTGGCCCCCCTGGGAAGGGGGCTGCAGAGCACGGGGGCTTGGTGGGGCTGGGGACCCTGGCACGAGCTGCCTGTGCACGCACTTGGTGGGCAGTGCCAGTGCCTGCGCTGGCTGTGGCAAGCGACTGGGACAGTGCTGTGGGGACGTGGCTCCCACCTCCCTCTGCACCCAAAGGTGACCCTCCAAATAGCTGCCTCTGCCCTTTTCTCCTCCAGCCCTGCCAGGCCACGCGGACTTTTGGCTGGGGTCCTCGTCAGAGACCGGTTTAATTAATGACAGTGGGACAAATACCGCTGTGCTCCCAGAACGCTGCTGGCAGGTTTTAGTTGTCCTGGTGCCATCTGGGTGACGGGCGTGAGCCCAGGCAGGGCCAGCCTGCACCCACAAATCCGGCAGGGGCTGGGCAGAGACCGAGCCAGCGGTGGCCAAAGGTGACCGGTCTGGCAAGGCTGGTGGTGGTGGGGCCAGACAATCCTGGGGTGACTTTTCCTTATCACCCCCCGTGAGGGTGCTGCTGCAACACTGCCCATCGCTGTCCCATGTGTGCCAAAGCCCCATCCCTTTGGGGACAGCGTGTGACAGCCAGCTCCGTGGGCAGCTGGGCATCTGCAGGGAGGGCAGCGGGGTTTGCCGCGGGCAGCGCAGGCAGCTGGCCCTGTGCGAGGGTGGAAGCCCCTGTGGGACCAGGGTGGGGTCCCCTGAGTGGGACCGTCCTGCTGGGGCAGCACCGCGTGGCACCGGCAGCACCTCCGGTCCCCGGCCACCCCTGCTGACCTCAACACCTCTCCATTGCAGTGATCCGAGCAAAGGCCGTCTCTGCGAAAGAGGTGGATTCGGGGAACGATATATACGGGAATCCGATCAAACGAATCCAGTATGAAATCAAGCAGATCAAGGTAACGGGGCACATCGCGGCAGGAGACGGGGGGAACGGGGCAGACTCTGTGCCGGCCGTTCACTCCTGCTCCTTCTCCCCAGATGTTTAAGGGCCCTGACAAGGACATAGAGTTCATCTACACGGCTCCGTCCACCGCCGTGTGCGGCCGGCTGCTGGACACCGGCGGGAAGAAGGAGTATCTCATTGCAGGTGGGTGGCTGCGAGGGAGGACTCTCAGGGGCCATTCTGTGCCTCCTGAGACGACTGTGATGTGCGTGCCCGCTCCCCGGGCATGGGCCCCACACCTCCTCCTCCTGCTCCCACCACCAGCCCTTGGTGGACCCCCCGGCTGTGTGCTGGCCACACTCGGCAGCCCTGGGCTGTGGCGGGGGGGGGGGGGGGGGGGGGCGGGGGGGGGGAGCCTCTGCTCCTGGGGTTCACCGGGGACAATGCACGGTGGGAGGGGCCGTATTGCAGCGGCCTCCAGCCCCCCCCAGGCCGGGCTGAGCCCCAGGCACCCCCCGAGTCAGCGTCGCGTCCGAGGGCGCCTGGGGGGACCCTCTGAGCAGTCTGTCTGGCCTCTCCCCAGGCAAGTCAGAGGGCAACGGCAAGATGCACATCACGCTCTGCGACTTGGTCTCCACCTGGGACTCACTGAGCCCAACCCAGAAGAAGAGCCTAAACCAGCGGTACCAGATGGGCTGCGAGTGCAAGGTGAGCGGTGGGGCTGCCCCTGAGCACGGGCTGTGCCCCGCTCCCCATGCCAGTGGGGTCTGCAGCCCCGAGGCAGGTGTGGGCTCCACAGAAAGATGCTCTTCCCCTTCATCATCCTTCAAGGATGATGCTGTGCAGGGGGCACGGCACGTGGCTGGGGATCTGGGGAGGGTGGCCGAGCCTCCGGCTCTCTCCAGCTGGGAACCGAGGCCAGCCCTGCACCCAGGGGTTCCCTCAGTCCCCCCGCATCGGGGTTGCGTACCTGCCGTGCCCCACAGGGATGGGGCAGCCTGGCATCCCTGGTCCAGAGCAGGACCCCCAGCCCCAGCCGCCCCGTGCTGCTTCCTCCCGCTCCCCTCCCACCCCAGCGTTCCCCCCTCGGGATGCTCAGTGATGGTCTCTGTTGTGCACAGATCTCGCGCTGCCTCTCCATCCCCTGCTTCGTCTCCTCCTCGGACGAGTGTCTCTGGACAGACTGGGCGATGGAGAAGAACAACGTGGACGGGCGACAGGCGAAGCACTACGCTTGCATCAAGAGGAGCGACGGCTCATGCGCCTGGTACCGCGGCATGGCCCCCCCCAAGCAAGAGTTTCTCGACATCGAGGACCCCTAAGCCAAACGAGCGCATTCCAGTAGCCAGTAGAAAAAAACCTGCGAGATGTTAGACTGGTCCACGCTGATATCAATTCCTGGAGACAGCATGAAAATCCGCTCGGTCGTGGGGGTCCCCGGGCTGCGACAGCTGCCACATGCATGCAGGGGGCAGGGATGGGGACCTGCTCTGTCGCAGGCACCTGGCAGCCCGTGGCCATGCTGGGTGCTCCTATGCTCACGGCAGGGCTGAGCGGAGCGTGGGGGCACCCCCTTGCCGGGGCCGCATCCCCGCCTGGCCATGCTCAGCCCTGGCGCCCCGGCAGCTGTGAAGGAACCGAACCCTCGCGAGGGAGCTGCCCCATCTGTGTAGCAGGTCTGCCCGTGCCCCTGCCGCGGGGGAGCCGCCCCAGCAGCTCTCGCCAGGCAGCCCTCCCCACTGCAGTGTCCCCAGCCGCCCTCCAGCACCGGGGACCCCACTGTCCCCCTCTCCACCCACCGCCCATCCCTCCCTTCGGGGTGCAGGAAGGGTACAGCCCTCCAGGCAGGGGCTCCGGGGGGGCTTTACCATGTGGCAGAGCCCCTGGCTGTGTGCAAGGGGCTATGGGACTTCTGCAGCGCTGGATGGCTCCTGCGCAGGTGCCTTGTCCCAAAAAGCCGGAGGGGCACGTTAGCATGGCTGGGGTGACCCCCCCCCCCCCCACGCACACAGGCACTGCTGCCCCTCTCTCCACATGCTCCTCTCCCCATGGGGAAACGGAGGTGAGTGTGGGGTTCATCGCCTTCCCCAGCGTCGCAGGGGAGGGTCCATTCCCACCGCAGCCTTCTGCACGGGTGGAGAGCTGCTGCCAGACCCTTCTGCACTGCTGGATGGGCTTAGGCTCACCAGCCCGCGCAGGCAGCAGGGCTCGGCAGGGAGTTCCCCCCCCGGCAGGGCACCAGAGGCAGGAGCTCTGGCGGCACGGGCACAGGGTGTTCATCATTGCCGCACGCAGCTGTTTGCTGAGCCGTGCCATGGCCTTCGGCAGCGCTGCGACATTGCAGCCAGTTGAGCTCCTGCCTCTGCGGCGGCGGGGAGGGAGCCCAGCACCTGGCTGGGCGCAGGTGGCAACGCAGCCGCAGGAAAACCCGTCCCCTCTGGTAAGCCCTCCCAGACACCTCGGGCCCCGCTTTCTCTGAGCCATTCCCACATTGTAGTGGTGCCGGCATGTGCCGCGGAGCTGCCCGTCCGCGACGTGGGTGGCACCAGCACGTGCGCCTGCCACCCCTTACCGCAGCTTTGGGAGCTTGCCGGGAATAATCCCCGCAGCCCCGCTCCGGGGGCGTTTTCATGCTGTGCGTCCCTGTAAGGTTTAAGATGTCGTACTGGACCAGTCTGGGCAATTTCAACATATTAAAGAGAAAAATTAAAAAGAAAGAAAAAGAAAAAAAAAACCCCAACCTCTAATCAATCCCATATACGACTCCTGTTCGCTTACTGTATGGTTATATCATATGTGCCATTTACTCCTGTCTCTGCTGGTAGTCTATCTTTGAGTTTAATATTTCCACTTGTTTTGCCACCGGCTGTATGGTCCCTGTGCTGTAATTTCTGTCTCTCCTCGTCAGGCGCTGGAGTCGCACCGGTTTCGTGCGGGGAGTCAGCACCGGGAGCTCCCGGGCAGGGGAGAGCGGCGGGGGGGGGGGCG